ATTATTTACCAGTTAAATATGTAGCACGCATTATTTAGAGTTATTATATTGTGACAGAACAGATATTATACTAAATACAATTTGAGTGTTTCAATAAAAATTATTACTAAGAATTTCAAATAAACTCTGAACACGAAGCACTTTACACAGATTTCAAGTCATCTCTAAATTCCGTTCAAGCATTAGGTACATTAATGTGCTCCAAGCAATTCATCGGCATGACAGCAGCGCGAAATACCTACCTAATCTTTAGACGCATCAAACGTGGACGATATTCTCATATGATAAAATCAAAATAATAAAAAAAAGACATCGATGTTAATTATTACTATTTAAATTTAGGTAGGTGCATAACGATTTTTAATTTATATTTTATTGTTATCTTTATTATGATCATTACATAAATTGTTATGTTTAATTTGTATTATGTTAAGAAATGTATTCATAATATAAATGATCATAATCTAAGATTAGATTCAAATAAACCATGCCTGGTTGCGCGTAAACAATCAATCAACATTTTATGAATCAATAGTGAGCTGATGGTCCCTAAATATGATTTAGTTAGTCTCGTAATTGGTCCATTATACGTCCAAACTTAAATATTAAATTAAAAATAACCCACAAATTCATAGCCTGCCCGCAACGACGAACGAAAGTACAAAAACAATAAATATAATAATATACCAAGGTCAGACACCACACCCGCCCGGTAAGGCGAAAATCGGTGTCTCTCGATCGGGATATGAGGTCATATAAATCGTGTAATGGGGTGTGTGTGTGTGTGTGTGTGTGTGTGTGTGTGTGCGGTGTATACGCATTACACGTTTACACGTACACACGGTGTAATAAAGACGATCCCCGATCAGTAGATCGTTCGATCGATCGCCGACGCCGCCAAGACGACGAAGCCGAACCAGTTCCGTCGCCGTCGCGGCGGTGCTGTACCGGAATCTCCAGAGGCAGACGACGACAGAGCACGACGCGGACCGTCGTCGCGTCTCCGGCGTCGGCGACGACGTCTTATCGACGCGTGTAATTGACCCGCCGCCACACCGAGGCGCCGCCGACTGCGTTCGCCCATTTACTCGCGTCGCCGTATTATTGTCGTTTGTTGTTGTTGTTGTTGTTATTATTATATTATTTCTATACAATCTTGATTTACGCGATCGTCGCGTACACGCATTCATCCCCGACAGAAAAACCCTCCGGCGGGAATGTACGTGTATAATATAAATAATTTCGTATGGAGCGAATTGTTGTGGCGCGGCAGCGTCGAGGGAGCGGGCACGACGCAATATCATTGTTATTAGTATTAGTGTTATTATTACGAAACACGCCTCGCGCCCGTCGCCGTCGTCCGAAAAGTATTTGCGCGCAACGGCTGGGAAAATTGTGAACGCACGCTCACCGATGATATTATTATAAATTGTATATTGTGTGATTATTGTTTTAGATTCTGAGCAGCGCGGTGAGTGCATTGGAAACAGGCAAAACGAAGTGGATTAGGTTTTTTGTCACTTTTTTGAACAGTAAAAATGTTTCGATCTTCAACTTTGGCATTATCTATTTTGTGGTAGGAAAATAAATCTATATACTCCGGGGAAGTGAAAAATATCAAGAGCCTTTTTAAATAATTGGGAGACAGACCGAAAAACAAATCGGGGAATACGGGGACTTTCGCACAGAACCAGTTTTCGAGAAAATAGATTTTGTTTTCATTGAAAATCAAATAACAGCTGATATACATACAACCTATTTGGAATGTTCAACAAATATTTATATTAGCATTTTCTATAGGTAAAACAAAGAATAATTTTCAAAATATTTTGACCATGAATTTTAGAGTTAATTTTTTCTATAAATAACGATTACAAAATGTGTGCTCAGTCAAATAGGCAGCTTGAAAATTGAATGCAAGGTTCCCATTATAAGTTACCGTCATCATCCGAAGAGTATTCCCGCGCACCCGTTGGGAAAATTATGCACACACGCACACAGATATTTACCTAGGTAATATTATTTTATACGCTACATACGAATATTGTTTTATTCTTCTCTAGGCGGTCGTCGGTCGCGTTATTTTTAACGGACGTATATATTATTATTTGTCGTTGTCGTCACACGCGCATAGTAACCGAAAAAAAATCATTATACATTATATTGTTTCGTTTATATATATATATTATATATTATATTTGCGTCGGGTCTCTCTGGCGCGTTATTTAAGACAAAAGAGGGAAGAGAGGAGTCATCAGAACGACAAACGCGTATCGGCGAGATGGGGTCTTCGTTCCATTGTCTATATACGTGTTCGTAATGAAAAGTATCCGGTTTTCGGCTTCTGGACCGGGTACGGCGGCGGCGGCGGCAGCGGAGCAGAGCGTCGAGCAAGGTGACGGCGGCGGCGGGGTGGGGTTTTATCTGTCCGCGGATGAAAGGGGGACGGCGGCGGCGGCCAGCGGAAGAGGAGAAGGAGGCGGAGGACGGCTACAGGAAAAGAATGAAAAAAAAATAAACGTCGGACCGGACCACATCCTGTGTGTGTGTGTGAGCGCGTCTTCTTTAATATACAATATTCTTCCCGAGCTCCCTGCTCTCACACACACACGCACATACACATAAGTGCAACGATGCGTCGACGGAGAGACTTGGTCCACGAGCGTTATACATGGTAGGTACCTACCTATACCTACACGTATATATACCATTATTACGTCCGTTGCACACACCTTATGTGCATTACACCGACGACGTCACCCGAGTGTACGATAATCACACGGTGTAAACCTATATATATATATATTATATATACGTAGAGAACTACCGTGGAGCTCGTGTATAATATGTAAAAACGGAGCACTTGTACGGTTTTCTTGACGTTTCCTCTTTGCCGGATACGCGCATCCTCACAAGTGTTCCTATATATCCTCATGCGCGGCGCGTCCGTTTGCGCAGGGTTGCTGGTCGGACGGGTGGTGATCGAAACCGGACGGGGTTTAATATTGTCTTTTTTTTTTTATATTGCATAAAATATATAGGAAGTCGCCGCATGGTCGGAAGCGAAAATAATACGATCGGATCTCTCAGAAAAACGGCAGGACGACCTCGACGGTTCGGATATATCACACGTATAGGTATGTAACATACCTATATATTTTGGTGGTTATGCTCGGTCGTATATATGCGGTTAACGATAATATTATTGGGAATCTATATATATATATATATATATATACGACGCCCATCATGCGGCGATCTCGGGATATACATTTCGGTCGGACGATTTCTCGTTTCATTTTAGTTTGTTTGTTTGTTGTTCTTTTTCAACGCCGGAAACGTTTCCGACGATTTACGGGCACAGCTATCCACAGACGGGTCGTTTTGGACAGGGGGAGAGGGGCATCGCCGCGCGTAACGACTACAAGGTGCGTGCTGTAACGGTTTTGAGCCAAAGGGTTAAGAGTATAGTTATGTAGGTAGGTAGGTACGTAGTAAGTGTAAGTGTATAGGTAGCTTCCGCGTACACATAAGTAAGCGAGTTAAACAAAAAAAGAACGCACTCGGAAAGCGGGATGACCAGTTTTTTCACGTTGCCTCGATGACCTTTGACAAACGACGTAATAAAAATTGAAATGAAAAGGAATATGGAAATTAGGGATTATCGAATGCGCCCCGCGGATCTCGGCGCGAAAAGGGTGCACTCCGTGGCTCGCGAAGGGGACGCGGAGAAAGAGTGTGAGAGAGAGAGAGAGAGCGAGAGTGAGAGGAGACGAGAAACGAATAAATAATGATAATATATTTGATATATACGTACAGTAGGTATATAGAGTGTGTGATAATGTAATGTATTTTGTTATGCAGAACAAGACTGTTGTTATGAGGTCGCGACGGATCACTCGAGACACATCGTAAATGCGTATCGTCGTTTATCTCTGTGACTCGTGGAGAGCCTCTTTCGTCGTATAATATGTTTCATCATCGTTCAATATACAGATTAAACGTCACGCAATAGGCACAACATTGCTGTATACCTATGTACGTGTTTCTTAATTCTTTCCGATTTCGTATCAGACTACGCCGCCGGTGGTGGTTTATCGGTGATAACGACAACAATATTATGATGCAATATTGAATATTTATTATATGCAGAAAAACGCGTCCCGGCGGACGGAGTGTGTTTTTTTTTCATTTCCCGAGTTTGTTTGTTGGTTTGTCACTCGGTTTTTTTTCTGTTCGAGAGCGTTTCCGGCGAACGGTGAGCGACTGGTAAATAAAATATCCGACTACAACAGCAACTGCCGCCACCGAGAAGACCGCCACGAGCAAATTTTAAATAGTAATAATAATGTTTTTTCCCGATCTCGTGTCGCCCGATTCTTTCGTCGTTTCAAAACACTGGGACGAACACAATACTATAACACCGTCGTCGGGACAACAATGTCATCATAATGCATAATATATTATGGTGAAAAAAACGTTAAACAAAACTGGACGAAAGATATAAATCGAACGCGTATCCGCTGACGAAGGTAAAACCCAGTTACACGCATATGAACGTGCGACACATACATTGTGGTGCATAATATAAACTCGAGCACAGATGAAGTCCTACAGAGGCCAGTAAAATACAAATAAATGTTTTCCAAAATTAAAGTATAATTAAATATAAAAATTGCATACAAACTAATAAATTTAACAAAATTGTATAATAGGTACCTAATATAATATACTAATATGGGCACTACAATGAATATGAAATAAATTATTATTTAAATATAATTAAAGACCAGCCGAAAATAGGTAATGCGGTTATAGTGGTTATACATCATACAACAATACAATAAAGGTAGTCTCGAAAGTAAAAATGATTATATTAAGGAAAATAATTGTACAATATTAACATGGGTAATGGTATTTTTCAATAATATAATTAATAGGCTTAAATCCTAGTCTGAAAGTGTAGTGCAAAAAACCGTTTAAACCGTTTTGGAACTAACCTTGTGCACAGCCGGTGGATATCCGTTTTGAGCCATAACGTCGCAACAATATCACAGCAGAAAGTGCACGGCGGCAGTGTTACAATAACGCATGACGACCAACCGATATCGAACGCCGAAGAGACAAGATTAACGACGGCGACGAATTATTGTGTTTTTAGAGTAGAGAAGATTCGAAGTGTTCTCAAGACCTATTATTATTATTATTATTATCGAGAGATAAGGCGGATAATTTTCTGCGATCACTTTTAGGAACTTCAGACACCACGTATACACCACACGCACAGTATTTACGTATGTGAGTGTGCTCTCGTTATCTTTAGCTAATACTATATTGCGACCGTGACGTTTGTTTAGGAGATAAATAAAAAGAAAAAAAACGCGACAAAGAATAATAAAGCTGCGCCCTTTTGCCGGTACCTATATACATTTCGTTTCCCGGCACCCGCCGCCGCCGTTGCAGGCAATCGATTATTAGACGCGGAACAAAAAATAAAGACGAAAAAAATCAATAGATCTAAGGTTCTTATACATAATATATGTATAGTATTATATCGGTTTAAAAATGAAACCTACTTTCGGTTGAAATTCAGTGTTGAAGTACCAATAAAAATTTCAAAGTATCGTAATATAATTTCGAATCGTTTACAAGAAATCACCACGACAAACTACAATCGTTTAATTCCGATCTGTTTCCTGAAATAATTAATTACTTAGAGGTAGGAATTTATTTCGAGTTGAATTACCTCGGCTAGAATGAAATCATAACGAATTAAGTGGCATACATGTCTATAAACGTCAACATTTAGATGCTAACTAAATAGCTGAATCTCAAGCGAAATAAATATATTAAAATAGAACTTTTTTAGCAAACCATATTTAAAGATGCGTTTAAAAAATAAAATAAAAACACTACTCGGTTGTAAAGCTTCTCCGTGTAAATTATATCTAAAATATTTACAACCGTATAGATTGTCAATATGTGAGTAACCTACGCGTCCGGATGTAGATACATTATTATTATTAATATTATATTACCACAGTCGCTGCACCCGATAACTATCAATCCTGGATTATTATTAGACACAATTGGTTTTCCGTTCTCGTCAATTTGGATATGGTTGGAAAAAATTGCGAAGGAAGCGGTTCGCGAACGTCCTGGAAGATTTTCGCCGTTACGTCTGCCACCGGTGGTCTCACTTTATAATATTTTAATATTATTAGGTACACTGTATAGTAGACGGGTCGCTGCTGGCTGGACCGCCGACGAATGGATTCCGCGCGCTCTGTATACCGCGGACCACACGATTGTCACACCGGCACACCGTTTGTTGCTTCCGATGAGTTATTTGTTTTTATTTTTAAATATTGTGTCACACACACGAAAACGCTCCCGATAAACACCCACACGCGTTTGACTGCCTACACGGGAAGGACCGGCGCTGAAGTGGCGCATCGTCTCTATCTCGTCGATGTTCGCTCGTCGAAAGTATAATATCAATTATTGCCGTATTATTGTATAGTTGTTGTATATCCGTTTGTATAAATAATACTAATATCTATCATGACAAATAAGTCTTCCTCTCCCACCGTCGTCGCCGAGGTATTCGTTAATATTTTAATCGACGGACGTTTTATCTGCTCCTCGGCAGAGACATGTGATCGGCGGCGGCGCACCCAGAGAGATGTCTCGTCGACGACAACGACGGCGCGTACTTTCCGAACCCGTATTATTAGACGACGGCGGCGGCAGATCGATAATAATAATTAAGATTCCCGTTATTAGATCTCGGGAAGGGAAAAAAAAAAATAATATTATCGTTCATCTAACGACACCGATAACAGTCCGAAAATGATCATTTCAGCCTGCTCTCCCGCACAAGGCAAATATTTTTAACTATTCTACACGCCATCGCCACAATGAAGATAATAATAATAATAATAATAATAATGGTCGTAATAACGGTGTAGCCCGACCGAAATGTTTTTTACCCATACGCTCAGTTATCGGATTGGTACCTGCGTAATTGGATTTGTGTGTACAGAGAAGACTGCCAAAGCACCCGCAGCCATTGGAGGTATTTACTTTTTAGGCGGCGTGTGTTCGATAACGACATTATCGATCGTCTGACGGAAGACGAGTCCGTATTTTCCCGCCGTGCGGGGGGGGGGGGCAGAAAACCCGGAAAAACTCGTAAACCCGCAGTCGCGAGTTCGAGGAAATGGAAAAAAATTGATTTGCCCAGAGCCGGTGCGGCTCGTCTCGCTGGCGCATCCGGTTCTCGCCGCGGGATCACCGAGCACACGCTATCCAGTTTTCGAAGACGGGCTCGCGCGCGCGCTCCCCCTCGGGGCCCGAAGAGGGGTCGTCCCGAATATTTTTACTATTATTATTATTTTATTACGATTTTATTGTCATTGAAATTCGCCGCCGCCCTGACCCCGGAAAAGAAATACACGCACGGTACCCTACACCCAAAATATTCTAATATCAACCAGCCACACGCAGCACGTCTCCTACAAATATCCAACCGTCGAGAGACCCCGAGTCTGCGAACAACCGTCACGGCTCAGACACAGATACTGCGACGGCTACGGTCGGGTGTACGCGTTGTAATTATAATAATAATAATAATAATATTACACACGATTATGTGCACGTACATCTCACGTACTGCACGCAGATAACCCGAGCCGCACTGTATATATTGGTATTATTACCCGACGCTGTGTCGCCTGGTCGTCGCCGCCGTTCGTAGATTAGTGTAACACAATATTATGATAGAGCAGGTGTGACATGGCTTTGAAAGCAAATATCGAGTCGACGACGACGACGTATTGGCAATATTATTATTATTATTATTATTACTCAGACCGTATAGAATTTAATGTTTAGCCAGCCAAGAAAACGACGTTGTACGTTACAATCGTCAGACGACGATATAAAATAGCGTCGTCGTCGTCGTGTCGTACTCGGAGAGCCCAACGATATCGTCGACTAGCAGCGCGGGGCGCCTCTAAAAACCATCCGGGACCGACCCGACGATTTCCAGATAAAATCTGTCGGGTGCGGCTGCACAGTGCAGATTCGCATTTAATTACACCGCGGCTGATAACGACGTGCGCACAGTCGTAAACACCGGGGAGATAATACTCACATCTCGAACCGAAAGACAGTACGAAAATAGTCCGATCGGTAAAATATTATTATCGACGATAATAACTCGGTAACGGGCGACGAGATTTAGGAAATGCGTATTTTTAAATTAGTTCGAGCTCGGGCTCTTCCAGGTACACTGATACCACCGGCTACCTGCCTGCCTCCGATCCTTAATACCACAGCGAATAATATTAATTATTGAATCACGTTCGGACGACGACGAACAAACGATAACGATATTCACACCGCAAAATATTTATAAATAAGTGTTTAATGATTTTGACGACCCGTCCCTGATGATTAAATTTATTTACACGTTTTTAAAATATTATTGTTATATTTTTGTTTTTACCTGTAGTGCGAGGTGGTGGTGGATCTCTCGGGTGGCGTCACGTATCTTCATGGACGGCAACGGATGCGAGCGGTCCCGACGTCGATCGTACGTGGCGAACGTGTGTCGTCGTCGAAGAGATGACGGATATCTTCTGCGAGCGAGACAACTGGTGCGCGTGTGCGTCTGTGGTACGTGTGGACGCAGGCGCGATGGTCACGGTCCGTTCGGAGCAAACTCCACTGCGGTCGTCGGACACAGCAGCAGCACTGCGGCGGCGGCGGCAGCGGCGTCGCGGGACAGGTTGCACGCGGGGCACCGGGTACTGAGACGCCGCCGACCAATCCGGACGCGCCCACAGCTCGCCGAGTCCTCCCCTCCGCGCCAATCTCCGCGCCGATCTCTCGATTGATTTGCGTCGGTTACGTGACCGCCGCGCCGCTCGGCGCGCGCGTACCCGGTTCCCCACCACCCACTCAGACCACCCGCCCGCCCCTACGATCATCCTCAGCGATGTGGCGGGGAGGGTTGAGCGGCGACGATGGTCGCGATTGCGGGATGAGGGAGGGGGCGACCGTCGTACAGTCGGTTGTGTGTTGTATTTTCTCTCCTCTCGCCGCCGTCGACCCGTCGTTTTATTTATTATTATTATTATTATTTTTTAAAAGTTTTTTACCTCGTTGCGGATGTCGCGTTCGGCGCGTTTGTGTGCCACCGCTACCGTCCGATATCGATTTCGAAAAGAAACGCGCGCGCGCATCACACACTCGCTCCGTCTTTATAAATATATATACCGTCAGCGGACGCGATAAGTCTGAATTGTGCAACTCGTTCATGTAACGAACGGTTGATGTGGAATAATGATCCAAATAATATAGTAGGTACCTATACAAGGACATTTATGACAGGCAGGATAGTCGCCGGATTTTGACTCCCAACACTTTACATATGTACAAGGGATGTTAAGCTATAATACAATATAGACGAAGACAGATATGAGTGCTTCATAAAAATAGACTGCAGTCCAGGAGGAGCAAACGTTTTTAAAGGATCACTGCAGATCCATTTGACGAAAAAATCAAATAATTTGTTTTTAAAAAAACAATTTTTTATTCCAACTTTGAACTTGTAAAAATAATAAATGTTGATATAATATCGTAGCCCTAAACCCCGATAGACCACCTAGAAGTTTAAAAACTGACGAACATCAATTTGTATGAATAGCTCTGCGGATAGTTACAACCTTGGTAACTGTTAGTCTGTATACAGTATCTGTAGTTCAATCATGACTGAAACTGACACCAGCTACTATAGATTATCTTTCGAAGAACAATACTTTTCACTGATAACAGTGGGTATAAAGCGAAAAATAAAATGTGACATAAAAACTAAGATAATTTAAGTTCCTATTTCTAGTATAAAACGCGGTACCTAATAATATTTTTTTACATTCAGGGGGCGCACCTAACCCCCCCCCCCCACCCACCTTGTTACCAACTATATATGTATTTGATACCGATTAATTTTGACAGTCTTATCGAACAATGCAATAATATCGACAGATAGAAAGACTCAGCAATACGCGGTTTTAAATCTACACAAAGTTGTTGATTATCAGTAGTACACGGTTGTGATTAATTTATTCTGTTTTTATTATTTTCAATGATTTTATTTTTTGTTTTTCATAGATGAATATTTATCGGCATTTATCGGCACCTCAGATGTATATATAGTTTTATAAACCGTATTCCGCCAGTTCGAGTTTATCCCATTATAGGCCCATATTATGGTATATGATGCAAATCTCATCTTTATCATGCCCATATGCCGCAGTAAACATTTGCATGCTTCTATGATCGTAAATATTCGTTTATTTGTTACAGCGTCTGGTGCATTGATCGAATAAACGAGGAATGACGTCGTCGGTAGATTATTTTTTAGGTCTTTATCGGATCTCGTCTGCAGATTACCCGCGTGGCTGCTTTTTCGGAAGAGTTTTCACTCAACACTGCACACTGTACAGTGACAACATACAACAATCGAAT